TTCTCTTTAATCGTAGCCAACTATTGTTTGTATGTGTGCTGGGATTTCACTCACGCACTTTCGCTTTCGTGGCGTAAGAAGAAGAGGGCCATGTCGAACCAAATTTCATGAATGAATCTCGAACCAAAAAAAAAAATCGATTTTGTTTTATGTCACCATTACATATATCCTCTATATGTGGTTCATACACATACCTACATATATATGTGTGTGTATGTGTATATATATTAAATAAAAAGTATTTGCCTTCATCTCCCAAAAAAATACCGCCAACCGGCAGCAGCAGTACCTGTAGCTCCATCTCACACATATTGGGGAGGCATAGAGACAACAGATTTTTTCTCAGTTAATTTTTTTCACGTTTCGTTTTCTTTTTTTTTTTATTTGTCATTCGAAAACAACAGTTCACTTTTCCGCTCTTTTGCTCCACATTGTATCACCAAAAAACAAAACGAAACAAAAACGCGCGCGTTTCTTATTTGTCATTCTCATTAGAAGTTGTGAAGTAACAGCGCGCAAAGCGTACGCGTAGAGGCGTTCACTCAAAAAAAAAATCGATAAAACCCCGAAACAAAAATCACATGAATTTTGTTGTTGTAGTTTTTTTTGTTTTATGTATTAATTTTCTTTAATTTTGTTATTAGTATATATATCGTATGTTGTTGTTGTTATTGTTGGCACTGTTGACTTGTTGATGTTGGTATTTTTTTTTCTCTGAAATTCGCCGCACGGGTACGGATTTATGGACGACGCGTATGATGAAGAATGCGTTTCTCAGGCGCGATCGTTGTTTGGTGTCAAACAAATTTTTTGTGAAAAAAAAAAAAATAGAAAACAAAATGCTAGAGAACAAAAAACGAAGAGAGATTAAAAAACGAGTGTTCTTTTCAAAAAAAAAAAAAAAATAATAAATAAATAAAAAAATAAAAAAAACTTCATGATATAAATAAAATGGATAAATTTAACAACAAACAAATATATATAACAAAGTGTCTAGCGGTTGAGAATTAAAAAAAAAATCAAAAACGGATTAAAAAATAAAAAAAAAAACTTAAATAAAAAATATAATTAAAATAAAAAATGAAACATTGATCGAAAATTTCATTCATAATTTGAATTCTATTCCCCAAAAAAATATTCGATATTTTTACTATTTTCTTCGATAAAGGAGAACATGTTATCTTAGAAAAAATAGTAGATTCATGTAGAACGGAAACAGGCAACATGTTTTCATACTCTCTATGTTTTGGGTCCACTATTTAATAAAATTACTTCCGATTTCCAAGGAAATTCTTCATAAAAAATCGTAGAGGGTACCTTTCAATTAGCTAGCGGTCTCGGGTCTGTGGTCCTCAATCTGTTCTCTTCTCCTTGAATTATTTTCGATTTCCAAGGAAAACGTTTACTAATTTACGCACAGAAAATATTCAGAAAATAATATCTTAAAATCTATATTACAACTCCCGCAAGAAGGTACCTTCCAACTAGCTAGCGGTCTCAGGTCTATGGTTCTCAATCTGTTCTCTTCTGGAATTATTTTCGATTTCCAAGGAAATTCTTCATAAAAAATCGTTTAGACATTTACAACTAGAAAATATTCAGAAAATAATATTTTAACATCTATATTACGACTTCAATTAGCTAGCGGTCTCGGGTATATGGTCCTCAATCTGTTCTCTTCCTCATGAATTTTTTTCGATTTCCAAGGAAATTCTTCATAAAAAAATCGTTTACTAATTTACGTCCAGAAAATATTCAAAAAAAATATTTTAGAATCTATATTACGACTCCTGTAAAGCGGGGCTAGAGGGTACCTTCCAATTAGCTAGCGGTCCCGGGTCTATGGTCCTCAATATGTTCTCTTCTCCTTAAATTATTTTCGATTTCCAAGGAAATTCTTCATAAAAAATCGTTTACTAATTTACGCCCAGAAAATATTCAGAAAATAGTATTTTAAAAATCTATGCTACAACTCTTGCAAGGAGGCGCTAGAAGGTACCTTCCAATTATCCAGCGGTCTCAGGTCTATGGTCCTCTGTTTCTGTTCTCTTCTTGAATTATTTTCGATTTCCAAGAAAATTCTTCATAAAAAATCGTTTACAAATTTACACCTAGAAAATATTCAGAAAATTATATTTTAAAATCTGTGTTACAACTCCTGCAAGGCAGCGCTAGAGGGTACCTTTCAATTAGCTAGCGATCTGGGTCTATGGTCCTCAATCCGTTCTCTTCTCCTTGAATTTTTTCGATTTCTAAGGAAATCCTTCATAAAAATTCATTTACCAATTTACTCCTAGAAAATCTTCAGAAAATTAAATTTTAAAATCTATATTACAATTCGCGATTTTAGAGGTAGCAGAATTGATAAAAAGTATAAATGCAGAGATTGTTGAACCGGTGACTATCTTTGTGGATAACCAGGCGGCTTTGGAAGCCATCAAATCTTAGGTCGTCCTCGATTTTACGATGTATATGTCGTTATCCCTAGTAGAGACGACTGGGACCGCAGTAACCCTTCTCTGAACGGTATGGCTTTCTGTACAGACGGATCCAAGATAGAAGAAAGTACCGAGGGACAGGTGTCTACTGTGAAAGACTAGGCTTTGAGATTACCTACAAGCTAGATAGAAACTGTAATGATTTCCAAGCTGAAATCTTTACAAGTTGGAAGATTGCGGAATTAATAAAAAGTCTGCATGCAAAGTACCGGTGACTATCTTTGTGGATAGTCAGGCGGCTCTTAATGCCATAAAATCTTTTAACATCAAATCTGACGTCGTCCTCGAGTGTAGATCAGTTTTGGAAACACAGCTTTCGGCACAAGACAATGTGTCATCATGGGTAATGAAAAAGCAGACGAATTAGCTAGACGAGGATATCAATCTACAGATGTAGCAATCGATGGCTCAATCAAATCACCCATCTGTCATCTTTTTTGAAACATTGAGGCGTTCATCGACGAAGAAGCCAATGAACTTTGAATCTACAACGAATCTAGGTGCAATGTGTCAAGATCTATCTGGGCGACTCTGTCAACCAAGAGAACAAACTAGGGATAAGTAAATCTATGAGAAAATCGTAAAGTCGACTTTCGATTTTCTTCATAAATACTTGGTTTTTCATCACAAAGCTCAAGTTGCCCAAAAAATGCACTTTCCGGAACTTTACTTTATCTGTTCACAATAATTCATATAAAAAAATCAAATTTTTAGTCGATTTTGCAGAAGTCAGTAAAAGTCGAAAATCGATTTTGAACAGTTTTAACAAAATCGAAAGATCGAAAAGTCGATTTTTAGTCAAAGGCAAAAATCGAAAAATCTAAAAATCGACTTTTGCGCTCGACTACGTATCCCTAGAACAAACTCACTGTTGAACCTCAACAAAGCTGAAATTAGACTAATGACAGAAGTCATTACGCCATAAAATGCAAAATTGACAAAACGCCCCGGCATTGAATAGACTATAAATATACTAAAAACTAAATCCATAAAAGTTATGCTAATTGCGCTATTAGGTTTATGTCCCCCATAACTTGGAAATATGTTAGACTTCTTGGTCCGTGTTTCAAGACGGGTCCCAAAGGTATCCTGATTCTATCGCATTGTAAATCATAACACGCAAATCAAGATTAATGTTCCATTATAGAATACAAGTATTCAAGCGCTATATATAATAGATCTATCAACACTTTATCGAATCACCAACAGTTATTTATACGCAAGCTTACTAATTTCAATAAACTTATGAAATTGATCTTATGATAAATAGGGTATGTTAATAGATTACAATGTCCTTATATGGAAAAAATGCACGCCATTCTTAATATTTTATTCATATAACAATCATAATCATAATGTGATGCAAAAAAAAACATTCTTTAGAGGAACCGATGAACATTTTAATGCATCTATCTAATGGATGTCCTCTAAAAAATATACTTAAACATCTACAATAGATATGAAAGAAGGCTACAAAAAATTAAGAAAAAATATACGATGTAGAATCTGAAGGAATCTACATCTATCTAAATCTATCTCATTTTAAAATATACGATTTTGAATCTAAGGGAAGCCTACAAAAATTCTATAATAAATATATGATTTAGAATCTGAAGAAAATTGTCCAATTTCACCAGTACCGTGACTAGTGGAATTCTAAGGCTATCGAATTTTTGAGAAAATCTACAAAATAATGAATTTTTGTGGTAGAAGTATTTTCCATAGTTAGAAGAGGTACATATATTCCAACTACAGCAGGTGTCTACAATTTTTAGCAGATGTTTCATGTTTTTGTTCAAAGTTTTTGGAGTATTTTATCTACGGAATAAGTATTCTATGCCATTTGTAATCACGATTTTCTACAAATAGAGGAGGGAGTTTTGTCTATGAACTTTATAATAACTTTAAATGCAAATACGTCAAGATACGAAATTTATATTTTCATATTAATTTCTATAGTAAAAATATTTTCTTCAGATAGAAGAGATATATTCTAATGTTACCAATATTTATGGGCGTTTTGTCTCTGATAAATGGTATTTTAACCCATTTATAATAATTTTTAATGTAAATATGTCAAAATCCGCAATTATTATTCCATGTTCTTATAATATGTATACAATTGTTCTCCATATATCAAATAGTGCTTTCCATCCTCTTCAAATATTGTCTGATTTTTGTCCGGCATTGAACTTCCTAACGCCCATCTCTAATTAATTGAATGACATTTTATTTTCATACGCGGGAATAGTTTTAAAATTAATGAAATGAAATGAAAAAAATCGATCAATGTTTTATAATTCAATTAATAACAACAAACCACAATACAATATGTTTTTCCGACTATACAACAGCAAAACATTCAAACACACATCCCCCCACACATACACAACGAAAAAAAAAACATTTTCTTTCTTTTGGTTGCATAGAGAGAAAGGGGGCTCGCAATACATTTAATACAACACTGTTTTTAATTTAATCGCTTAATTCCCGACCATAAAGGTAAATAATATCAATTACAACAACACCGAGTAACAAGATATCACCAACAACAACAACAGTAACGGAAAATTGTCAATAAATAAGCAGCGCAGCAGCCGCATTCATTCATACAGCATTTACTCAGTGAAAAAGGTAAGTTTAGTTAGTCGTCGTCGTAGTAGTAGTAGAAGCCCATATGTCAAGCATAAGGTGGTAGAAGAAGAAGCACACGAATGTAGTGCACGACAGCACCGGGCACACACAGCATTTACTTTGCAGTTAGTTTTTTGTATGGGAGAGAGAGAGAGTGTGTGAGAGAGAGAGCTCCACATCACTGCCACCCATTTGGCCCCACGCGCACACACATTACTCATATTATAACTGTGTTGTTTTTGCTGGGAAGCTCCATCTCTCGCTCTCTCTCAGTATGTGTGTGAGATTAAGTTGCATATGCAAAGATGGGAAGGGAGAGAAAGAGAAGAATTTTGTTTTTTTTTTCACCTATTACGGGATTACGTTTGGCCGTTTTGATCTTGGTAGGAGATAGAGAAGGTGTTTTGTTGTTGTTCACGCAATTTAAAGTGGTCTAACCGGCACTTCTAGTTAACAACAAGAAATGAAAAGAAGAAAAAAAAACAAAAACAGCAACAACAAATTACTACTACCACTAACACACACAAATCGATAAAAAAGGGTGCTAATCGATTGATTAGTGCAGCAGCAAATGTTTTGGTGGGTAAACAGTGTGACGTATACTCACTGTACACAACATGAAGAAGAATGACTTGGAATATTTTTTCGGTTATTTCTTTGAATAGATAAATAAACATTTTTGGGAATTTTTTTTTGTTAAATAAATTAACTTGTTGATATTAATGCTAAATATGAATTATATATACATGTGGTGGTGTCACGTGTTAGAGTTTTTTTTTTTTTTTGTTAAAAAAGAAATTTGTTTAAAAATGCCAGGGAATTTCCTAACCTTATTTTCCATCAAGTGAATGATGACATGATAGGTGTGTCATCATCACCTTCACCATTCTGGCCAGTGTTTGTTTATTTTTTTATTTATAAAAGGCTAGTCTCAAGAGGCTTTTGAAAGAGTTAAATGAGAACAAGTACTTTGTTTACCCATTAAACTTTCATCAGCCCCCTATTGGCTAACCTTCAGATTAATGTTTCAGTATCAGATTTCTCATGATGGATGGATTGCAAAATAAGGTTTGTACTTGATTCAACATGTCGTAAGACATTTCTTCATAGTTTTTTCTATATTTTGCATAATTACCCCAACTGATAGATAAGGGTTCTTATCACATTGTGAAATTCGTACACACGCACTATGGTCGACAGTTCGGACAATCATGCAGTATACTGGCGATCATTATCATCAAAATGATAATAAATTTCGCAAAAAATATTGCTACTTATTTATCTAAAGCTATTATCATTTAAATAAATATTTAGATATGAATTTTTGAATTATGATTCATTTCAATGACAATTTTTGTATATCCCATGGAGATATATTTCATATCTGCAGATTTAGTGTTTATCAAAATAATCTGAAAACAAATACTAATTTTGGAAAATACCTAAAATTGGAATTCGTGAGTTTTGGTATTAATTTTAGGCATGCATGTTTCTAAAATATACAATGGAACAAGTAAAACTGTAGTTAAGTTCGGCCGTGCCGAACTTTTTGTACCCTTCGTCATGTGGAGGATCTTCAAAATACCTAACATCGGGACTTGTAGTTTGTGTCTGATCACCACAAATAACTGCCACAAAAAATGAAATACATACTTAAGTCACTCAGGTTGGAATATTTGTATAGGGCCTTAAACATACCGACAATATAGCGTGACCTTTGTAAGATTCAATGGCGTAGATTTAATAAAAGGTGTTTAGTTTAAAAACGTAGCCAAACTCCCCAAAATGCCGAATATTGGAGGTACCGTTATATGGGGGCTATACGAAAATATGGACCGATATTTATAATTTTTAGTAGGAGGACTGAAAGTTCACAATATATCACATTAGAGCCGATTCGGTTGAAAAAATGATTTAAATGCGGAAAAACTGAATATCGTTATATGGATACTCTGAGGCTTAAACCAATACACCTAGTTTTTGGTAGGAAGATCTGCTACATAATAATAACCCAAACAACAGTCAAATTTATTGAAAAATGTATTCAAAATATCGAAATTTGAGAGGTACCGGTATGCAGAGACTACACAGGAATTTGGGCTAATATTGATCATTTTGGAAGAGAGAGAGAGGAAAGGGGATAAAAAAGCCGAAAGTTTCACATCATCTTCGGAAAAATATGTAAAGAAAGCTCAACCAAGCAGTCTATGGACCTATTTTGGGAGACTTCTGAAAGATGTGTTTTAAACTCTATGAACCCCAAATGCCAGGACCTTTAAAACGTCACAAAATGAAATGGTAACCTTATATGGGACCTGGAAATATAAAAAAGACATTCCGACAGAAGGTATTTTATCCTCTGAAAATTCCAAATGGCAAGCTTCAATTTTTTCGCTGACTTTTAAAATGTTTAAAAAGTTGTTAAACCATTGATTCAAAAACGAGAACATGGGGAATCTAAGGTTCCCAGGGAGTTCGTAGAATTACTTTTGATTGGCCGATTGGGATATTTTGCCCCTTGAAATGTTACACTTAGAAAAAATCAAAACACCAAGCTCAGATTCTTCAGTTGGTAACAAAAAAAGAATTAAAGCGAAGTATACGATAAGAAATATTGTTAATCAGTAAGTTATTTAATAACTATGTGTAATGAATTGATGGAAAAAAATATAATCTTAAATCCTGACTTAGTCTTAAAAACGAATTGTCCCATATTAATATTGAAAGTTAGCTGAAGACTGGTAATAACTTAAAATAATCTGTCTAGATTGAACCTAAGAGAAAATGAAAACGTTGCTGCTTTAAGAAGATTCCCAGGGAGTTCGTAGAAATATCTTTCGATTGGCCGAATCGAATTCGATTGGTACAATCGAAATGTTTTCATTATCTAAATATAGAAAAATGTTCTTACAGGATATATTCTCTGAAAAATCTGAAATGCTAAATTACAGGTATTTTTCGGTGAGAAACCCAAGGGATACTAAAAGAACAATTCTAGAGCAATTTCTAACAAGAGATGTTTTTTACCCTCTTGAAGTTCGAAATGACAAATTAAATTACGGTGTTTGGAAAATTGCGAATTGAACCCTCAACATACCTTAAAGTTGAACCTATGATATATTTCATCCGAACCGATGTAAAATGTTAAGTTATGAATATTTTGTTCACACTTACCTATACTCGTACATATCCAAAACTGTCCAGCTAATATACCTTATCGTATTTGTATAACTTTAAATGCAAATATGTCAAGATTTTGATTCGTTCTTATGTCTGACAACCATTCAGGAAAATCTGAAAAAAATACATAATAGCAAATTTAATTTCTACACATACCGATAATAAATAATATTGTGGTGCAATTACCAAAAACTTCAGGAATCAGGCCTTATAGTTTTGAAATACTTTCAAGACAAAATTATAATAACTTTAAATGCAAATATGTCAAAATTATGATTCGTTCTCATGTTTGACAACTATTCAGGAAAATCTGAAAAAGAGAAGAACAAATTTAATTTGTATACATACCAATAATTAATAATATGGTGCAATTACCAAAAGCTACCGGAATTTGGTTATACATTTTAGAAATATGTAGTATCAAGACATGCAACTGATATCAATACCAATAATTGGGTTTCCAAAATTATAATAACTTTAAATGCAAATATGTCAACATTTTGATTAATTTTCCTAATTTGGCATCCATCCACAAAGATCTGAAAAGGAAAGAGGAAAAACAATTATATGTTTAGTATAAAGAAAGACTATTTCAATTAATAAATATAAATTTAATATAATGACAGTTCCTCAAATCAAAATACCTTAAAAAGAGAGTAAGAAGTCATGTCCCCGATTACTGTGAAAAACGACAGCTTTCTCAAATTCTCATTCTCTCTTTATTCATCTCCAACCAAATTCATTGATCAAAACAACATCCAATGAGCAACAGTTAATCAAGTGAAAAAAATACCGGGGAGTAGCATGCACAAGTATAGGTGTGTGTGTGTGCGTGTGTGAGGAGAGACGAGTTCTTAAATCACTGCAGAAAACGACATGCCTGGCAAAAACAAAATATTTTTATTGGCACATCAACAACACCAAGAGAGAGAGAGAAAAAAAAAATGTCAGCGCCAGTCACACGAGACAATAACAACAACACCGGTAAAGAGACTGACAGGACAGGCTTACAGGGAGTTGCCACAATCGAAAGAATTTTGTTTTGCGGCGATTTTATTTTTATTGTTGTTTTTGTAGAGAAATATGCAAAATAACTGCATAATTAGAATAACATATTTGTATTTTATTGACTCTCGATTGTTGACAGTTGTTGTTGTCGTTATTGTTTCGATTATTTAATTGATATGCATTTGTTATTGCAGCAGATACATGTGTATTATTTATTATTGCCATGACAATGTATGTGCAAATTTGCATAGAGAGAATTCTTGTAACGAAATGCATATGATTGAATAATATTCCAAAAATTTTATTTTTTTAAACTGAAATGGAGATATTCGTAATAAAGTTAAATAATTATTATTGGCGTAGGGGATGATAGATACCAAGCAACGGCTTTGATTGGCTTTAACATGGCGAAGCCCAGGCTTATCTTGATCCCTATTTCATCTCAATTGTGGACACTGACCTCCCCGCGGTGCCACCTGGGGAGCTATTCTCATCACCCGATGAAATAGTGAGCTAATATGTGCCGCGAGTTCACCCATAAGAACTATAAAAAAATGGGTTGAGGCGTCGGGTTAGTTGCCCACTCTCGGAAAACCCAACCTACTATGAAAAAGCAAAGAAAAAGAAAACCAAATCCCCATAATGTTGACGACCCCCGCAAACGTATAAAGGACCACGATCTGCGAATCTGCACTTGGAATGTGCGCACGCTATACAGAACAGGGGCAGTGTTCGCTTTGGCGGATATACTTAAGAAGTACAAAGCCGATATTATTGCCTTACAGGAAATGCGATGGAAAGGGACAGGCGTA